TTTCTTGCCTGATCTTATAGTAAAACCAAACTGTATACATAATTCTTGACAATAGAGCAGTATCAACCTGGTTCTTCATTTAGACCACATTATCTGAATCATCTGTGGAATGTTTGAGTTGTTTAGTTGGATCTTTATTCACACATTAAAAAATATTAGACAGTGACCAAGAATATTGTTCTTGAAAGTATTTTTTTACAGAATTAGCTGTTATAGTTTTATCAGGGATTAAAAGTTCTGAAGCAACTTGAAATTTTTGAGGAAATTTTACAAATTGCTTCAAGAGTTTTAGTATTTAAAATTACATATAATAAAAGCTTAAGGGTATTTAATATAAGCAAGTATGCAAAAATGGATATAAAAATAAAAAGAGGCAACAAGAGGACGCCTGTGATACGAAATAAGTCTTGAGAATTAATAAACAGGAACTTGGTTATGTAAGAGGCATCGCCTAGAAGTAAGCAGCAAGACATGTGCATTACTCAAAATAAGTTTGAGAGGCGAGCTCGGAAACCAGTGACCAAGGTCAGCAGCAGAGTTAGTAAGAACTGTTGTATAGAAACAAGATGTAGACACCAGTACATGTGACAGTTTGTTGAAGTGTTGGCCTCGCCCTCTTAGCACTAGAAAAGCTGCAGAAAAGTTTAGATTTAGTGAATCATATCAGCACTTTGAGGTGGTATTAGTTACAGCACATGGGTGTAGCAGTACAAGTGAATAGGCTGCCGGCTAACACCACTTATCTATGACCAATTACTGGAGAGTTTTGGTTTAGGTTCTGGTTTAGCCCAGGAATTCGCCTAAAGTACCCAGTAGGAGCACAGGACTACTTGTGGGTGATGCTGTGTCCTACTTAGTGGGTCGATTTAACACAAGGAAAATAGAGTTTAAAAACCCATGTCAGGGGCTGAAATTTGTAAGCACCATTTTTACCCTGATAAAGTTGAGACTGCAAAATATTGATGTTTATTTTTTAAACTACTGTGATCATTTATTTAATTTTTTCAATTTGTGGGTAATGTCAAATATAATCCAGTCATCATGATTTAAACAAAAGAAAAATGTTTAATTCTTTGTTTGACCAGATTTTATGCCTGATTCTTGGTTTGATAAATTTATCCACATTTTAGAAACAGTTGAGCCATGTTATACAAAGTTGTTTTTAGGTATGATCATTTTACATAGAAACTCTTTGGACAGTGTTGAAGATCTAGTTTTGGGGTTCAGTTATGTTTCCTACAAGCTCTTTGGAATAGAACACACACTACTTGCCTGTCTTGTTTTTGTGGATTGAGCTATGTTACTTACTTGGAGTTGGTTAGATCATGTTACATGTTTGGTTTTTGGTGTTAAAATAAGCTCTTTGGGTTATACCATATGTTACCTGTCAGGTTTGTTTTTTGATTTGGACAATGTATTTGATCTTTGAGTCAGAACATACTAGCTGTCTCGCTTTAGGTTTTGTCATGTTATATGCCTCATCTTTAATTGGGTTAGACCATGTTACCTGCCTACTCTTTTAGTTACATCGTGCTACTAATATGGTTTGGACCATGCTACCTGATAATTGTTTGAGATTGAACATATCAAATGATTGATTTTTGAATTGGATCAAGTTACTTGCTAGATCTTTGCACTCGACCATGTTCTAATGGGTCTGTGGTGAGCCTTTCCTATAGGGCCTATGCCTACAGTTAATTATATAAGTTTAACTTAAATAGATATGCTATGTATATAATACAAAAATTGAAGAAGAATAAGAATGAATAGAAGAATAAGAAAAAAACAACCTGTATTGTAAACAGCAGGAAATTACAAACATGTATATCTAAAAATGATGTTAGTGACTCATTTACACTGACTACCAAAAATCTATTTGTCTTACAATCTCAGCCACAAACAACTAAATTACCTCTTTGTGGTTCATGGCTTAGCCACATTGCTTTCTATTAAAAGTTAGCCTAGGTCACTCAAGCAATCTTGATTCACTGTAGTTCTTAAATAAGTTTTTATTAATTTTAATTTACTACAGTCACATTCATTTTTGGCCACATGCACTAGAATTAAGACAGCAAAATATTCCTAAAGCTATTAGAGTACAAGAAAACCATCCATCTTTTACACATATAATCAAGCAATTCAATAGGATGCTTCTTATAGATATTGATTTCTTCTTTTGTTTATGCAAATACTTCAAATAAACTTGGCAAAGAGTAGTAATTTTACTTGAAATTATTTACTCTCCAGGTCTTCAGGATATTTATTGGCAAAAAAGTGAAGCTGTGCAGTAAAGTTTATTGTTAAACAATACTCTCAGCTTTGTTCCCATAAAGAATCTGAAAACTTCTACAATGTTGATATAACTAGGGTTGTGGAAATTTAGCTCTGAAATAAAACAATCCAAAATTAGGAGCTACACTTTTTTGTGGATCTTGAAAAGGTGCATCTATAGCCTGCTTGCTAGAAATTGATTTCAGGTGCCTAAACTTTGTTTTTTTTTTTTTATTTGTCTTCTCCCAACAACTTTTATGCTTGTAATGATATATTTTCACTCAAGTACCCATTAGGAAAATTGAAATGATGAAAGAAAACAGAGGACAAATTTCAGGCAGAATATTTTGCAAACTAGTTAAGATTGAGGAATTTCGATGCTTACTGAACTGAATTTGTAATGAGAAGACTCATTACTGCAGCTACAGTGGGGTGGAGCAGTCCAAAATACAATGACTCAGAAAACGATTAGATGTAGAAAATATCAGACATGGAGAATAGACTATATAGGTGACCTCTTGACAGGTTTGAGAGAGACAGAAGAGGTTTAACACCAGGTTTAACTTGGTTGATGTAACATATGTGAGAATTCAAAAAATTGCTGACTTATTTTTGCTAAAAATCAAAATTTAAAATGCAAAGTACAACTTTCAGACCTATAATAGGCCTGGATCTATGGCAACTTGTCACAGCTACCACATTCTTTGGATGTCCCTGACCATATCATTTGACTGGACTTAGTCTCAGATTAGTCCATGGGTTGGACCAAGTTATCAGCTTATGCTGGATGTGTCTTCTTTACCTTATCATTTGGTTGAACAAGTTTTTTGCTTGGTATTACAGTTGAATCATGTTATTTGTCTGATCTTTTTGATGGATCAAGTTATCAGCTTAGTCTTTAGGTTGGACCTGTTATTTTCTGATCTTTTAATTGGAACAAGTTTTTAGCTTGATCTTAGGCTTGAATGATGTTATTTTTGATTGGAACAATTTTTCAACTTGATCTTTGGGTAGACCTAATTATTTACTTGGTTCTTCAGTTAGACAAAGTTATTAGCTTGGTTTTTTGGTTGAACCAAATTATATTTCACTTGCATTTTACAAAACAGAAATGGTAAAATATTTAGATCAGAGAAGAAAGTACATTTAAATTTAGTATAAATAAATTACAAGAAATGAAAATGTTTTGAAAAACTACAAGACACAAATTCATAATCCTATAAACTTCTTAAGAAAGAAGTTTTGATTAAGGCTATAAAAGTCACCACCTACATTAGTAAAGAAGTGAAGTTCCAAACTTTATAATAAATTTGCAGAAATATTCTACTGAAAGTTACCATTACTCCTACATTCTAAAAGTGTATCAAAAAGCTTGATTCTATGGAAAGAAAAAATTTACTTAACATTCGTAAAAATGCCTGTAAATTACTTGCATGATTTTACATAAATTTACTGTTAATCAGTTTGGGTGACTCCTCTATTTCCAATCAAAATTAAAAACTGCAGAAAGAGACCATAATAATGTTATATAGATTAGGTAGAATTCAATGCAATTTAGTTTTTGTTTTTTAGTTGATATATTGCAAACTGAAAACTGTTTAACATATCAAGAGTTGTGGTTATGTTTCTTCAGAAAAATTAAGGTTTAATGTCTCACATTTCTAGTGAGCACGTTTATTGTGGAGTTCCTCTACAATGGCCATTATATGTCATCTGTATGAACAACAGGTTCTTGGTATGAATATAGTAAATAAAGTATTAAGGAATATATTTTTTATTTATCTCAAGTAACAGGTCATGAACTCTTTCACTCATAAATTTTCATTTCTATCAAATACATTAATGTAAAATTTTATATGAATTTTGGGAACCCAATTTTGTATTGTCATAGTAGTATTTCAATATAACCATGCAGTGCTTTTAGTATCCTGTAGTGTAAATAAGTCTTTTGAAGACATTATCTTACAAAGTTCAGATTCATACTTAGAAAAAAAAATCTGATTCATAAAAATACAAAAGGATTTCTTCCAATTTGTGATAATGGTAAACGTACCAAGAATCTCTCAACTTCTAATTCTACGGTAGTAATGGTAAGTGATGAAATAGAGTATGTAAAGTATGTAAAGAGTCATTAAAAAAAATAGGTAAGTCAATCTCTGCAATTTTCTACAATAGTTGTTTTGCATTGCTCAAGTAGTGTTTGTCATCTACTAATTATTAAAGACATGCAAAGATTATTTACTTTTTAGAATATATTATTTTCAAAAACAATGAAAGTCAATGTGATTGAAGCTGTTTTAATAACATCCTATATAAATATTCCTTAAATAAATGAAAATATTTATATGAATAGTTAAGAAAAGAAGAATGAAAACTGTTCATGCTCCAGATATTGTGAAAGCTTTTACATGACTTATAAAACAACCCTTATTATCAACCAGGTTTGTCTACTACGCATGGCTATAAAAATCACCACCCGCATTGTTAAAGGAGTAAAGTTCCATCCTTTTGAGTAAACATGCAGAAATATTCTACTGAAACTTACTGTAACTCCTTCACTCTAAAAATATATCAAAAAGCTTGATTCTATGGAAGGAAAAAATATTACTAAACATTCATAAAAACTGCTCTGAGCTCTACTGTACAACCAGGCTGAACTAAAAAAGCAGGCAAGGAACCACCAGAGGCAACTACAGTTAGAACTCACAACCTGGAACTGGCATATTTACCTCTGTCATTAGCATGACTTTGATTTCCTGTTGCTTGTTCAATTATTTCATTCAGAACCACCACATCTAAATACAAAAAACATCTTATTAATTTCCACCATATGCTCTCAATTACCCAAATCAATTACATAGAGATTTGTGTTAGTGTAAAGTTCAAAAGCTTTTGAAGAACTTTTACCAAGTTTCTGGAAGTTCATGGTATGATGCAGAGCTTGAATTATTGTTTTTTATTATGCTTTAAAATAAAGCAAACTGGATACAGATCAACAGCACTTAGTCTAATTGAGAAGGGAACATGTATATATTACAGTTGATGTATTTGACTAGCAAGTTAATATATAGATATATAATTGATTCTGAGAGCCATGTGTAAAAGAAATCAAATTAACTTATCGGCTCATTAGCTGAGGCACTGCAGAATTTCCATGTCCATGTTTCTAATCTAAGCACTTAAAGCAAACAATTGTTTATCATTAATTATGTTTTTGTTCCAATAACCTATGAAAGTGTAAGAAACATTAGTTAAGTGCTACTACAGCTTCAATAATGATTTAATATTTCTGCATAAAAAAACTATCAATGTGTTCCAACAAAACACATTTATAGATTGCCTAACTAGGAAGTGAGAAATAGACTCCGCAGAGATGAGAAGTTATGGAACTTCACATACACTGATTTGAGGTGGTTCAAAATGTACTCATACATATACAGCATGTACTTCATCTGTGAAAAAGGTCAGAGTTTTGACTGTTGTAACATTATTGAGTCTTTTCTTTTCTACTTAAAGAAAGTCTTCTTTTAGGATTTTATACCAAATACAGAGTTAAAGTATAATATGAAAAACTCTAATTTACTGATATTTTAAATCAAATATAAGAATATATATAAAACCTAAGAAAAAGGAAATTGCCCAATAACAACAAACACTTAGATATCCTTAAAAAGTGAAATAATTTCAAGCAAAGTACTTGTTCCAAATAAAAAAAACTTAAAATTTCAGAAATTAAAACAAATAAGCAAAAAAATCCTGTTATAATTTATATAGTTATAAATTTGGAATTTGGAGCATAATCAACAAAGAACACAAACTATAGATTACTATATCCTTTGTATTCAAATACATCAGGTGAAAAGTTCATTAAAAAAAATCTGTGACAAAGCAAATTTAAATAATGCACATATTGTCAGATTTTCACAAATGTGAAGTAAGCTATAAATTATATGGTTTTAATATAGGTTCCAACAAGTTAATATGAAACAAACGAAATGTCACAGTTTCAGTGTAACAGATGACACCTTAATAACAAAACATATTGTCATTAAGTTATCATGTTAATGTATATCACTTTTCTACAGTTGCTACACCATAACTATAACTAACTGTTTAAACTTTTTTTCTCTTATTATTTGTAAAACATGTGTCACTTGCTTTTGATCTAGTGAAACTTGTTCATGACTTATAGTAACAATCTAATCTTTTATTGCTACCTGTCACCTGAAGTTAAATATATATCAAAATCCCTGATAGCATCGACTTTATTGTGCAAAAGACTGTTGTAGTGGGAAATGTACAGCACAGCAACAGTCCGTAACAGTCTGGAACAATATTGGTTGTAGGGGGCTATTAGGTGTACATAGGCACTCATCCTTGTATAGTTACCACAGACTGTGAACACACCTCTTTATAGAGTCTAAGGTCACACTATCAGTCACAGTTCACAGGTTTATACATTAGTACCATTCTATTCTTTAACTGAAAATAACAGTTATTCTGTATCTGAGGTGTATTTAGTAAAAAAACTTGAGGGGATCTAAATATAACCAACTCCTTTTCATAATGAATTCAAAAATATCCTCTCTACTGAACTTCTCAAATAACAGCAAAAATTAGATGTTTCCCAAGTAGAAAATTTATTATTTCACTCTATTTTGTATGTTACTATGTGTGATATACATGTAGTTTACACAACACATATCTGGTGTAATTCCATATTATCTTATGATGTGTTATCGAAATTTATCCCAAGCCCCTAATTTGTTGTTCTTTAAATGTTCCAAACAATCACTACATATGAAAACTGAATAAAAAATGTTTTTAACTACCAACTTTTACATTGTTCTTAATTTGTCTATCGTTTATTCAGTTATGTCTGATGTAGGGTTAAAGCCAAAGCATAACATCCAATACCCATTATTTTTAATTTTTTTTAGGATAAAAGAAACCACTTATATAACATAATTTATTTTCTAACAAAATAATAATACAAAATATACATTTTTATATCAACAACTCAACAACATTATAATAATTAATGAAAATATTATTAACTAACCTTTCATATCCACCATAGTTTGTTTCTGAGAAGGTCCTACAAATGGGTTTTCTTGATGGTTACGTTTTGTAAGATAGTCAGCACTTTCTATTGGAGCATCCTGTTTATGTTTACAAAAAGAACCAATTTCAAATATTATACACTGGTATAAATATTTGAGAAAAGTCAAGAAATTGAACTTTCTTTCAACTTACACAAGATGTTTTTTCTTACAAATTTAAAAAATGAGGAAAATATATATAACTAGCTCCCAAGTAAATTTGATTTTCATAATTTTTCTCAAATTTCTTTAGCAGTGTAAAACCATGAAATTAAATATAAATGCTCATTCTATTCATTTCACAAAACAAATTATGGTTTACTTTAAAGCTTAAATAGAAAGAAAAAAAGTTCAACGTGTAATAACCTATAAACTTTATTTTTCACTTACACAGTTTTAAAACTTCACTTACCAAAATGAAAACAATATTCAACTATATGTTAAATGATGTGTTATCAGCTATCCAAACAAATAACAAATTCCAGATAAAAAGCACTATTAGCTGTATGAAAGTTAAGCTATCTTATAGAATCCAACTTTTGGATTTTTATAAAATTATTAAAATGGATTATACTAATAAATTCTTATTATAATATACAATAAATGTATGAATACCTTCAAAGAGAACTTTCATAATTCTTATAAAAACAAAACAATATTTATTTTTAAAAAATGGAGGTGTATATTGTGTTTTTATTTGAATATTAGTTCAAAACTTGATCTAGTCAAAACTTCAAGACTTGAAGAGTTAAAAAAATTCATTATATTTACTTTTCATCCAGTATAATTATTTAAGAATATGATTTTTCACTACTTTATCAAAGACCATTCATTCAAACATTGGCCAAAAATGTACAAAATGATATTTTTGTTTACTAATCTTATGTATTGAAAAACAATTAAAGTGCCTAGGATGTGAGTATCCAAGTAATTCAAACATAAACGAAAATAGAAGCAGGTCATTTTGTCTTGTTTTTTAATAATTGATTTAGTGTTTAATTAGAAGTAGACTAAGTAAATGAGTAAAAACATTTAAGAATGCAAGCATTATGCATATATTAAATTGAGGATTAAAGTAGTTTCATTTGTTTTTTAGAAGAAAGTTTATGTACTTATATTTATGATAACCATGAACGTTTTTTCCAAAACATGTTTTACAACAGTATATCCATATTTTTGGGATGTAGCAAAAGCAGATTAAGGGCATTACTAAAAGGGGAGCACAGCCTGTGCCCATAGATCAATAATGTTTTTTATTTTTTAAGTAACCTGATGGTTGAGACATTCATGTAATTTCTCAACCATCATGTTAAATACAATATATAACAGAATGTAACATAATAAAATATACTATAATAGAACTTAACAGATACTAAACAGAAAAATGTGTTATTAAAATGTGGTTTTGTTGCATATTTTGCTTATCTTTATATCTTTTGTCTGTCAACTGCATATTTAGAAGACCTGTGCTTCTTATGCCCCCTTTAATCCATCTCTGGGTAGAATAAAATTTAATGGGGTTTTATATTTGTGATAAAATGTCAAATAACTCCTTTTATAGAGAATTAGATTTGAAATTTCAGCACTAACCTCGAATACATCGAATTTCAACAAAATTCAGGAAAATTGAAATGGCAGTATTTTTTTTTTAAATAGTTCTATTCTATGAAGTTTTTTAAAGGCTAATTAATTCATATATTTTGAATGACATTAATTGCTTTTTTTTCACGATATAGAGAATGAGGCTACTAGAGTTTAAGTACACTAGTTCACAATGACAGGTGAACACTGGTTTGACACATTCTTTTACTCACACCATTCGCTGTTCACTTGCTGGTGATGTGTAGTATTTAAATACTACATTCCTTACTCTCCTATAGTGTTTATGCCATCTCTTTAAAATTTTCAAATTTTAATTCTGTAACTGTTATGTGCCAATTTCAACCCAAGATGATACTTTTTATAATCTATCCAGTCAAGGAATCTATCTACTGCTCCATAGGATAGCTTTATTGTAACCTACTATAACTCATGCACAGAAGACTGCTTTACAACTGTCATACAAAACAGATATTTTCACATTCTAGTGACTGTTTTCTGAAAGATGAGCCACAAAGAGTAAATTGTTTGTAAATAGAGTATGATGATCTCTGACTTATTTTTTTTTACCTTTGAAGAAAAAAGTTTGTTTCTAAGTTTCCAGCTTTATATACTTGTTGTTTTTACTGATCATGACCATTTTATTTTAAACTTACTTCCTGTTTGAGTATGTTTAAGTTTTTACTTAGTTAATATACATATACAATAACGTTTTCCTTATGTGAAAATATATTTTTAATAGTTGCTTAACCCTCCATTCAACTAAAAGCTATTGCCTCACACATCTGCCAAAAAGATTTCTGCACATACCAGAAGCCTTTAACGAAACTTTCAGCCCTACATGTACTAATGTACTGCACCAGTCTATGATATATTATCATCACTAGACTATAGCCCTCTACCAATAGGAGGGTAATACAATCTCCAGGTGCAGTAAACCCCATGAGCACTAGCATTTCAACAAAGGCTCATTCTTGATGAGGGAAAGGAAACACATCAGAAGTGAGGAGGAAAGGTGGGAGGTTCTGTGGAGATGTGAGTATCTATCTGAAATACATTTTTAGGAAAGGAAAACGTTAACTTCTGTAATAATACTCACCTTTGTACAAACTAAGAGCTAAATTCTATATTGATAAGATAATACATGGACCAGTGTAGATAAAGAAGTTAAAAATATGAGCTCTTTTCTGAAATTATGGTGTTAGAAAGTGGAAAATTCATGTAGCATGTCAACCACTAATGGGGAAGCTAGTGGAGCATCACTTGGTGGGAGACCACATCCTTCTCATGCAGAGAGTACTCTTCACCAAATAAGGGTGGATAGCAAAAGGTCTGTCAAAAGAATCTTCTGTGTGGTGCTGAAGTGTTTCATAGAAGGGTGGACTGTAATATTCTTTAACTGCCAATAATATATCAGGTGATGTGCAGTGTAGTTAGGGTAAGAAATCAAGCCATACACTACTGCAGAAATACTTATGTGAAATACCTATGAGAATAAGCAAGTGCAGGGAGGAATTATAACAGACCTGCATCTTGAGGAGAGCACAAGGACAATCTGGTTGTTATGACCACTGGAAATAGCATTGTTCACAGTGTAGTGAAGTGGCCTGTACTACACTTCCAGGTAATACCCCAGCCATTCTTCTAATCAAGGGTTGCATCTTGTACCAGTGAGATTACAACGACTTGAAGGAGATTTCTCCATATCAACCTCCCTAGCAGCTTAGGACAGAAGAAACAAGGGTTCTCCCTGTACTCCACTAGAAGAAAATGGAGGGATGAACATACTTAGGGAGAATGATATAGAAGTGTTCAGACTGAACAGGAATCATGACATCTGCATAAGGTCCCACACTTATAGACTGTGTAATAGATTACCATGAACAGGGACAGCAGGAGCTAGCATATAAAAGAATTAAATTTGTGTTAGACATACATGACTGTTTTAATTTAAGTATAGAGCACTTATAGACTGTGTAATAGATTACCATGAACAGGGACAGCAGGAGCTAGCATATAAAAGAATTAAATTTGTGTTAGACATACATGACTGTTTTAATTTAAGTATAGAGCGTGTGTTAAATTTATTTATTTTTAGAAGTGATAGTCTATCGCAAGTTTGCTTACATCACTATTTGTGAATCATATATTCTGTAGTTCAACTGTTGTAAATTGGTGCTTGTTGTCTTATTGCATCATGTTACTAGAACCTTCTAAGTTTTTCTCGTGAGTTTAGCCATAAAGAGTATGTAGGGACAATTTTTGAAGTGAAATTATCACAGATTGTATTGTGATAACAGGTAGAGAAGAATAATTTGTCTTATCAACTATGTTCTAAAATAATTGAAACAGCCTGTGTGGACTTTGACAAAAAAAATAATTATTTAAAGCTCTAGATACAACTGTGGTAACCAACATTTATAGTGGTGATTTTAAGTACGTGTCACAGCCTTGTATTGTAACAACAGATAGTGAGGAGAATAATTTGTCTTGTCAAAGGGTGTTCTAAAGTAACTGAACCCACCTATGTGTACTTTGACGAAAAAGAGACAATTATTTAAAGCTCTGGATACAACAGTGATAACCAACAGTGTAACAAACATTTATATATACGTTTGAGTTGTTTTATATATTATTTCAAAACCAGTGGACTGTGTGCTATTTGTTTATTTTTGAAATTTATCGCCAACAAGTCACAGACACCTACTGTAAAGAATCCGGCTCATACATAAAAAACCTGACAATGGTGAATCAGCCAGGATCTCCAGGAGTAAACAGTAGTAGAATTAGACATAAACAACAGCGAGCAAAGTAGGCCTATATATACACAGCTGTAGTGGTGGCAAAAATATTGTAGTTATTACAATCACACTATATAATTATGTTGACTACACTTTGATAAGCGGATAGAGAGGGGCAAATTACTTGAGCTCAAAAGATGGAAATCCACTAGAGTTTGTTAAACTACAACAAAAACCACCCCATACAACCCCAGATGTAATGGACTTTGTGAGAGAGTTAACAAAGTCTTAAAGAGCATGCTAAAGAAGATGTGCCAGGAAAAACCATGTGACTGGGACAAGCACCTGGAGGCAGTATTATTTGGTTACTGAGAAGTCCCAGAAGTGAGTACAGGATTTTCACCTTTCAATTTACTGTACAGAAGAACAGTACGAGGTCTGATGCAGATATTGAAAGAACTGTGGACAAGAGAAGACGAGTCAGAAGTGAGGAACACATACCAGTATGTGTTAGACCTTAGAAACCAACTGGAGGAGACCTGTCAACTCGCTCAAGAAAGTACTCAAGGCAATCAGAAGCACTTTTATGACAAGAAGGCCCAGGATCAACATTTCAAGGATGGACAAAAGGTCATATTTATGCTACTCACAGACAACAACAAACTCACCCTGCAGTGGAAAGAATCTTTTGAAATACAGGAAATAGTCAAAAGAATGGACTATAAGATGAAAGTAAATGGGAAGACTAATATCTACCATGCCGATCTATTGAAGAGGTACTTTGAGAGGGAAGAAGACCTAATGGATGCAGCTATTGAGGCACAGAAGGGTGTTGCAGGTGTGATGGTCATAGATGCAGAACCAGAAGATGGTGACTTTGTGATAGAAGATGAAGACCTACTAAACCTAAAACCACTTGATGGAGATGAGACATACAAAAACATCAACATCAGTGAAGAACTGATTGGAAAGCAAAAGAAAGAGGTACAAGATCTACTGTGCCAGTATGCACGTGTCTTTACAGATGGACCAGGCAAGACAGACCTTGTGCAAAATCAAGATTGAGACCACTACCAGAGATCCAGTCAAGGTGAAACCCTATCAAATGCCATATGAGATGAGAGACCTGATCAAGCAAGAAGTTGAGGTAATATTAGAAGCAGAAATCATTGAGCCTTTGAAGATGGCCTACTGTTCATCAGTGGTAATCGTGAAAAAGAGGGACAGCTCAAACCATGTCTGCATAGACTTCCAGAAGCTGAACCTCATAATAAAGTTTGACTCTGAACTTATGGGCTACCCAGAGGCTATCATGACAAAATTAGATGGGACTAAGTTATTTACCAAGATTGACCTTAGTAAAGGGTATTGACAGAACCTGATGGAGACAGGATTTAAAGAGAAGACAGCCTTTGTGACACCAGACGGATGCTGCAAGTTCAAGAGGATGTCATTTGGGTTAGTCAACTCAGCACTAACATTCAACCGCATGATGAGGAAGATGTTGCACAAAACCACCAACATTGAGCATTATATGAACAACATTTTGACCTACATAGCCAGATGGGAAGATCACCTGAAGGAACTCAACTGTTCAGGCAAGAGAGGGCAGCAGGTTTGACCTAACAGACCATCTAAGTGCTACATCAGTTATACTGTGCTGAACATTGTTGGACACAAGGTGGGTGACCAAAAAATAGCCATAGAAGAGATGCACCAGCTATACTATAGAAAGTTCATTCCAAACTATGCTGAAGTCGCTGAACCACTTACTGACCTGACCTAGAATATCCAACGCAACAAGGTGAAGTGGGAACAATCACAGCAGATGGCATTCAAGTAGTTGAAAAATATGTTAGGAAGTTCATCAATCCTTAGAATACCAAAGTTCAACAAACCATTCAACATTAAGGCTGATGCATCAGATGTTGGAATTGGAGCAGTACTTCTGCAAGAACATGTAGATGGACTATTTCCAGTAACATACATCAGTAAAAAGCTGTCGAGTAGTGAGAAGAACTATTCTGTGATTGAAGGAGAGTGTCTGGCCATTGTATTAGCCATCCAGAAGTTCCAGATCTACCTCTAGAGGAAGGAGTTTATCATCCAGACAGACCATTAGCCACTTGCATACATCCATAGATGCAAAACCAACAGTGTGCGGATCATGCAGTGGATGTTGTACCTCCAAAACTACTAGTTCCACACTGAAGTAATCAAAAGGACTGTAAATATTGGTCCAGACTGTATGAGTAATCTTTGTCCATGAAATAGAAACTGTCTTTGTATATAGTATAAAAGATATTGTAAATATTTTTCTTGAAGATGGACTTATTTTTAGATATACACAACTGTTTCCATTTAAATATAGCACAAGTGTTAAATTTAGTTATTTTTAGAAGCAATAGTTTATCACAAGTTTGCTTACATCACTGTTTAGGAATCATATATTGTGTAGTTCTGTTGCTGTGAATTGGCACTTGCATTATTGCATCATGCTACTAGAACCTTCTATGTTTTTCTTGTTGTTTTGTGTATTATTGCATTATAAAATCTCATAGTGTGTAGAATGTTCTAGGCTTCTGTCAGGCTAAAAATACACATACAAAATGTAGTTTGAGTTAGTTAGAGAGAATAGAGCTAGATCTAGATTGTGAGTTTAACCAACATTTATAGTGGTGATTTTAAAGTGAAATTATCACATATTGTTTGGCAATAACAGAGTAGAGAATAATAATTCATCTTGTCAAATTGTGTTCTAAAGTAACTGAACCAGATTGTGTGGAATTTGAGGAAAAGGAGACAATTATTTAGAGCTCTGGATACAACTGTGATAACCGACAGTGTAACGAACATTTGTATATACTTAATCAAAAAGATCTAAAATAATATTTAACCTATATATACAATTTTTAAAGACATTTTGCAGCTCCTGTAGAAACAGTGTTTAAGTGTTTAGAAAATTAGAATTTATTAACACATTTGTAAATTTAAAACCTTAAGGCCCTCATAAATATAACTTATGATAGACAAGAATATTCAGTAAAACAAAAAAAGCATTTATAAATAACAGCAATAAACTTCAAAATACGGATCTTACGTTAAAAATCATAATGTGAACTGAACAACTGTCCTTATTTCAGTTCATGTAGCTTCATTTTTTGATGAATCAATGCATAGTTACAAATGACTGTGCTATATTTATTACACAATATAATATTAAAGTGTTTTGGAATCTTATTATGATATTAAAACATATACATGTTATTGTTGTGACAAGAATAATATGATAAACATAACATTTTATAAAAACCTTGTATAAAACAGTAAGATGAGTTACAAACATGCATATAGAAAGTTTGAACAATGAAAGAATTTGGCAAATTTGAATGAATGGCTGAAAATGATAGAGCTATATTTTTTATCCTTTGATTTTGTTCATTAAATAAAAATGTATGTAATGAACAATCCAACTAAATAAAATGTTTAGTATCTTCAAGAAATCTGTTTGAATCTCATCATTTAAAATTACATTACACTCAAATATTTAACCTTTATGCAAGTTATTCAACTAATTTAGAATAAGTTAATATTTTACATGTCCAATTAATGGAATTAAATGATTTCTTGAAGATTCTCATAAGGCTGCAGTAAAACAAACCAAGTGAAAAGTGCAAAAAACCTCATGATTAAGGCCTTGGAGATTCCTTGAGTGAGATCTGAGCTGACTCTCTTTTGTCATCCCCTTGACAACAATATCCATGTGGGAGGTATAGGACAATCTTGATGAGTGAGAGGTATAACTGGAATGTCTAGAGTTCAGTTTAGGGTACATGGGAATAATTATAGCACCATTTTCCTCAGACATGGGTGTTACAGCATTACTATCATCTGCATAAGGAAGATGTTCTTGTGCATCCATGTATGTTTGAAGTACTAAAGGATTCTTGTCTCCAAAGCGACGACCACCAATGCGCCAACTGAACTGGCTCCCCCTACTCCCCCTTCGAAGGTTAAAAGGTGAGCCAGGAAGACTGGGACTTGCCTAAAAAGTGAAAGAACTTTTGCCATTTTCTGACAGATGATCAAAATTACAGGTAATATAAGCAAAACAGTAGCTGAAAATCTAATCAGCCTGCCCACTATAAACTCAAACACCTCTCCTTGTCTTCACTGACAAAAAGAGATGCTCCAGTTTTATTGGGAAAGCCATTTCATTCAACATCTGGCCAAAGAGGAGCTAAAACAGTTATGAAAAAAAGAATAACAGTGTTTAAGGAAGACAGAAAAAGCAAACACTAAAACAAAAGCACACTAAGAATATGTGACAATACAAGATCAAAGTTATTCTATATATTGCATGAGAAAAAAAGTAATAATCTGTCAAAGTAACTTGCAAAAGGATGTATTATCTAGAAATGAGTAATGTTGTTTTGATCAACTGTTTTAATCTCAGCTGTCTTATCATGTGTTGATGTCATGTGCATGATGTATAATGATTTTGTAGTGTACAATCAACTGTTCCTCTGTGCTTAATTTCATTGTTCATTTTAATCTGAAGCTTAAATATAATATTGAATTGGCACAAGAATAAGAAGTTTTACATTTTATGTAATAGATCATTTAGATTAACAGATTTTTATAATGTTAATAGGACTTTTGTAAGACAAATTACTTTTATATCATAAAACCTTGGTAACATTATCTGCTTTGATAAATCATAAAACATAAGTATATTATTATGATTTGAAAATCATATAATATTAGTCAAATACCATATGTATCCAAAATTAATAAATTCTATAACATGTAATTACCTGTGGCCTTGGCAGTTAAAAATTCTCATGGAGTATGATGAGCCCCAATACTGTTTGAAACTATGGCAATACTCAAACCACTACTCCACTATATCTAAATCTTATTTGACTAGTCTACTATCTACTTTCATTGTCTTGTGCCTTTGCCAAGCTTCATTAATTTATTTTAAAAGAATTTAGATTTGCTCAGAACACAAATATTTTATCTACCACAATATACAAGAGACAAAGTTATCTCTCACGATGAAGCTTATGTTATTATCAGAGCAAAGGTAAACTATATTTATTACTTACACTAATTATATAAAGTTTGGTGTGTGTGTGTGTGTGTGTTTTCCATAACAAAGCCACATCAGGCCACTTGCTGTGTCCACTGAAGGGAATTGAACCCCTGATTTAAACGTTGTAAATTCGTAGACTTACCACTGTTGGTAAACTTTCATTATAAAAAGTATACAAGATGATTAGAGGAAATATTTTTCTGGGAAAATTTAAACAAAAAATAAGTATTCTAAAAATGACTACAAATAATTAAAATATAAACATAATAAATTCTTTACCTCAGACTGATAATAAATTTATGACATTTAATTTTATTTCTACAGTTGCAACACAATAAATACGTAACTAACTGTATTATAAATTTAATGACTACCAATTTAAAAGATTTTAAGATTATTTTCATAATTTTGTCTTAATTATTAACCTAACATCAGTAATTATGAAAGTCATAGCAAGTTTCCTTGTTGACTTGAGTATTTATGAAAGAAAGTCAATCTTCAGACATTGAAGATATTTAAACAGATTTTCATTTTTGTTTTCTAATAAACTATTCACATCAAACATGTAAAGGAAAAATTGGGCTCATACATGATACCTTCATGCAATATAGCAAATACCCCTGTTGTGAGAATGTGAGACCTCTTTCATTATTGCAGTTTATCATCTTATATACTACCACAAATTCAGTTATATCTTCTAGAGCATGATTAGACAGCTGTTAATTTAATTTACATGGACATATTCTATGTTCTAAAATGATGCAATCAAATACAATTCCACCTGTAATTGTACTCTGACTTAGAAAAATCACATAGAAAATTGAAAAGGGATTTGTTTTATAGGATTGAAGAGATACTCTAGAAGTTCCAATTAAGGGAACAGCGTAAAAATTTGATTGCCTGATAGATTGGAGAAGTAAGAAGAAATGCTACAGGAAAAGTATAGCACTCAGAACTCTTCATACTTCCATGTGGCAAATATTACGGTAAATGCTAAGTATTCTACATTTTCCAGGTAACAAACAGTGAGTGACCTCTAGGTATTCTCTACCATGAGCTCCATGAATGGTTAAGTTCAAAGACATTGCCAGACTCAAGCACTCCAAAGAAATTAAAAAAAATCTAACTCAAAATTTACTGATCAAAGGCTCCCCTTCCCACAGTAAATGGTTGTATTAAAACCTAATACTGGCTCTGCAGATATAGGAAAAGGGTATAGGAGTATTGGATCGCTAGGAAGCAATTGCCAGCTACTACAAAGTGATAAAAAAACATGAAAACAATAACTTAATCAGAAGAATTCAGATGCAAAAAGGTTGTTCATGTTGGTTCTGAAGGGCCAATAATGTCATTTCAACCAAATGTAGTCAAGAGCCAAAGATAATGTTAATGGTGTAAGTTAGAAAGAGACAGAGATGTTCAAAGTAGTTTACATTCCCACCCAACAAACATAGTTCAAAAAAAAAAAGAAAAGGAGAATCATAGACAAAATAGTACAACTAAGATGGGAATTACTGAATTGAAAACTGCTGTAAAGATATTAATAGAGCTTGATTCACACACAATGACACAACCGTGATATGAAATCACGTAGATAAAGTGACTACTCTGTCATAAAAATACCTGTGGGGAAAGAAGACTAGTCTGTCATAATCTAAAATCATAAATGCTTAAAATGCAAGTAGAAATAACACAATCCTGATCTGATAATTAAAATAAATGATTCACAAATAGATTCCACCCGAAACTTATAAAAAAAACAAAATGGAGCTGGATGTGTGACACACCATTCAAGACTGCTGATGATTTATCTCACATACAATTATTGTTTCTTCCAGATGAAAGGAGCAGACAATTCCTATAAAGTATGATTCAAACGAAGAATAGTAAAAAATTATTTCAAATATAAAAAACCCAAAGTATCAGTATAAAAAAAGCAGAATAAAAAAAAAGAAAGTGTGATCAGGAGCTGGCTGAAAAGATGGGCTAAATATATATATATATACTTGCTTAGGAACAAATGAGAAAAATTGAAGAAAGAATATTTCATACACTGAGAGCAATTTATGAGCAACCCTTAGTGCTGTTTGTTGATAACACAACACTCTCCAAGAAACTTCAATCTAGAGGAACCTGGTGTTTCTTGGACAAAGTTTTGGCATATTCTGAAAAGGACAGTTCAAAGAACAAGGACACCAAAAGATAGGTTGTAGGTTTAAATAGAATTAATATAAACAATCTGATTAGCAATAAATTTCTCAAAACATACACTTTAGCTACAAATTCAGACAATGACAAGCTATATCACAAATAACAAGAAAACAAGTTAAAACTTCTAAAATGACCTTTTTCTACAAAAAAAGCAACTATATTTGAGCAAAGTCACCAAGATTATCTCAAAATAAATCCTTCCTTATGCAGCAAACTGGAGTCACAGAAGTAACAAGTATGTTAAAGGAAAAAGGAAGAAACACTGGAAGTTAAAACTCATGGAAAAATTGGAAAAGTCTGAATTATTATAGTCTTAAACCAAACAATGTACAAACTTAGTTGAATAAACAATAACTTAAAATTTAGAGAAAAGTGAATGACCCACTAATCTCGATACAAATTTAATAACTTCCCTGTTTAAATATATACATGTGAAACCATTACAAAGAACAAAAACATACAGATGAAAACTTTTTGAAGCAATGAGTTTTTCATATCAGATATAAAGCCACAATATTAAAAAGATATTATTATTCAGTTGACTTGGTTAACAGCATTATAAGCTAGCGGTCAAAGTATATCCATAGGTAATATAAATTTGAATTCACAAATATCGTATATTTTTTAGTTTGTTATTTTAAACCTCATATTATTACCTCTTTTAATTATAATGTGTCACTAGGCACTTTTTTTTAAATGCTACATATAAACAATAATTTTATCAATAAGATCCAACAAACTCCTTATAAGACAGCATACAATCAAATTAATAATTTTATACATGTCTTTTATAACTCATTTTTACAATGAATTATCAATGCTAAATACTAGGTGTACTGCTGAGAATTTGTTTTCTCTAGTGTTTTTATTAACACGTAGTTTATATATATAAACACATAAATGCAAAAACAACTAAAATGTATTAAACTTAATTTTCTGGTAGGCTACTGATTAGAATTTCAATAATTCAGATACCCTTGCTTTTGATTACTTTTAAAGTAAATGCATAATATATCTATTTATCTAATGGTCACTTTAATCTCAAGGCAATTTACCAATGACTAGGCACAAAACAACAAAAAATAAACTTGTATCTGTATAAATTAACTAAATCAATATTCTAAAGGTAATTAAGGTTGGGAATTTTTTTTAATAATAAAAAACGACATCTATCACAAGCTACAGGTAAACCATGTGGTATTTAAAACAGAATTGTTTAAGGATTCTACAAAAGCTACTATGTATAACTTGGAGAAAGGACTAACTACAGGGCTACAGATGATGTATTTATATTATATCAACAATACTGGGCCAACAGGATTAAACTCTGACTGAATAAACCAGTCCTTGTATTGCTGTCAAAGAAACAAGAGAATATTAGAAAACATACTGGCAAAACTTACTGAAGCAAAATTAAAAGTGACAAATAATATTTAATCATTTATATAAAAATAAACCAAATAAATCACAAACATAAAAAATAAACATATAATATCACTAAGTTACTACTGATGATTACTGAAATTATACAGTGACAGAAAGAAAATTGGACAAAAAAAATCCAATAAACTTTCCAATTTTAAACCTTTTTCAAGTTTATCATTGGTTATTTCTTTTCAAAGTTTTTAATAGTAGAAACATTAAGAAAATTCTAAACAGCACAGCATAACCTACTTTTTGTATACCCATCAAAGCTATCTTTTCAAAAACTTAAAGTGTGTGTATATATATCTAAA